CCCCCCACAAAGTAGAACCCACTCCCCACATTGTTCCCGCAGCATCCTTGGTCCCCCAGCTGTCATTTTGGAGGGACTCCAGGAGCCACTGTGACCCCACCAGTCTCTTCAAGGGGTGACCCATGGTGTCCCTCTGGTGTCACTGGTGCATCCCCAGTGGAATTACCTCCTGGGGCATAGGTGGGGGAGGAGGTAAGGGTGGTGGGGGGAACCCAAAAATGTTGTCACCACCCCCCCTCCTGTCAGATGTGGACCATCCCCTGCTTTGGGGAGCTGGTGACAAACTGGTGGGTGGTGGTGTCAAAAAGCGCAGGTGTCACCTCGGAAACATCACAGAGAAGGGGTCCTGTGGTGCCACCAAGCCCCCCCTCTGAGCAGGTGTCAAAGGGAGGGAGAATTGGGGTCCCAGGGTGCAGGCAGGGTGTAGGGGAAGTTTGGACGGAAACGCCTCCAGTCCCACCTGTGCCTGGGGGACTTGTCCCCCTGTCCCCTTGTTCCCAGCAGGGGTCGGGGCTGTGGGGGCACCCACTGGATGAGGACCCCTGGGTGGGCAGAACCCAAAAAACCGGGACCCCTGGGTGGCCAGGGACACCTCAGGAATTTGGGACCTCACAAATTGGGACCCTTCAAAGTGGGGATGCCAGGTTGTGGGTGCCTCTCCACCTCCAAATCCAGTCCCTGGACCCCCACTAATTATTCTCCTCATCCCATCATTCCCAAATTCAGCCCCCAAAATGCCTCTCCTGTCCCACCAACCCCAAATCCAACCCCAAAATGCTTCTCCCCCTCCCATCACCCCCAAATCCAGCCCTGGAGCCCCCAAAATTATTCTCCCCATCCGATCAGTCACAAATTCAACCCCCAAAATGATTCTCCCAATCCTACCAACCCCAAATCTAGCCCATGTACTACCCAAAGTGACTCTCCTCATCCCACCACCCCCCAAATCCAACTCCCAAGATTACTCCCCCCAAATTAACCGCCCCCAAATCCACCCCATGGATCCCCCCAAATGATTCTCCCCTTCCCACCACCCTCTAAATCCACCCTCTGAAGCCCCTAAAACTGACTCTTCCCCACCACACATGGAGCCCAGCCACCCCCAAGCCCCCCACCCCACTGAAGACCTACAAGTGGCACACTGGAGTGGACCCCAAAAGGAGCGGGGTGTCCCCAGGGAGCCAGTGCTGGACATGGCTGCAGGGCTGGTAACGCTCTGACAGCCACCCCGACACCGATGGCGACAAGGGTGGTGACAGGGGTGTCCCCAAGGCCAGCGAACACTGGTCGCTGTTCCAGACGGTGTTTTCTGCCCCTTCCAAGGTGCCCAAGGAGCTGCAGGGACCCGAGGGAACATGAGGCCAAACCTACAGCAGTATCTGCACCACTGGGCAGGAGGAGGGGACATGGCGACAGCAGAGCCAGGGCAGAGCTGGGGACGCAGGAAGGGGCAGGTGAGTGGGGCATGGAGTGGGGGGTGAGGGGTTATGGGGTGGGGTGTGGATTTTGGGGTGATTATGGGTGGGGGAGTGATGACATTTGGGGTGATGATGGTGGGGGGTTCTGGGGATGGTTAAGGGGGTGATGGGTTATGGAGTGATAGGTGCAGGTGACGAAGATGGGTGTGGGGTGGTGAATTCTGGGGTGATTATGATGGGTTGGGGGATTATGGGGACAGTTTGTAGGGTGATGGGTGGGGGCTGATGAATTTTGGGGTGACAATGATGATGGGGGGTGATATGTTATGGGGTGATGGGTGGGCAGTGATGAACTTTGGGGTTATGATGATGGGTGGAGGGTGATGGGGATGGTTTGGCGGCTGATGAGTTATATGGTGAATTTTAAATTATGAAAATGTTAAAAGCTGTATCATTTCCAACAGGGAGACCCCCCCACACCCCCAACCCCATTCCTCCTCCGGTTGGGCACAGAGCTGATAAGACACAGGGAGGGTGGGGGAATGGTCCTGATGCCTCCCTCCACCCCATGCAAGTTATGGGGCAGTTTGAAGCCGTTTTAGGGGTAAACATGGGCTGGTTTGGGGAGGGCAGAGGGAAAATTTGGGGGGCTTTTTGGGGTGTTGCTGTGTCCCCCCTTGTCCCAAATTTCCCCTTCCTCTGTCAATCCCAAGGAGATGCTTTAATATTCTGTGGTCTGAGAAGATGGTGCTTGGATCTGGAGCTTGCTCCTCACACTCCAGGTCTGGTCCCGGTATGGAAGTGACTGTAGGAATGGAGCACCCCACCATGGGACATTCCTGGGTCAACTCCAGACATAAAGAGTGGTAAACTGAAGGCACTGCTATGCAGGCAGTGCCACCTTTCAGAACATAGAAACCCAAAATGTTTTCATGGGGATTTCAAGCTGCAAAGCAGGCAGCTGGTGTCTGCTTCTCTCCCAGGAGCCAGGAACTCCCCTTCATGGTTTAGCACATGGCACTTCCTCCAGTGGTTTTCAGTGACTAATGGAATATCCTGAACTGGAAGGATGCACAAGGATCATCAAGTCCATCTGCTGGCTCTGCACAGGACACCCCAACAATCCCAGGATTGTTTGTTTCAGGAACAGTCTGTTCCTGAAAGCACTGTCCAAATGCTTCTGGAGCTCTGGCAGCCTTGGGGCGATGACCGTTCCCATGGGAGCCACTCAGTGCCCAATCACCCTCTGGGCAAAGAATCTTCCTGATCTCCAGCCTGACTCTGCCCTGGCACAGCTTCAAGCCATCCACTCAGGTCTTGTCACAGGTCAGCAGAGCTCAGAGATTGGTGCCTGCCCTACCACTGCCCCTCAGAAGGAAGCTGAAGGCTGCTATGAGGTGCAAGTTCCTTCAGCCTTCTTAAACTTCCTATGGTTGATGATTGCCCATCTCTTGGATTTGTTAAGGTCTCTGCCCTTGAGGGAGTCAGCACCTCCTTCCAATTTAGTGTTGCCTGCAAACTCTACTTACTGTTCCTTCAAGTCCTGTATGTGCAGCCCCTCCTCATGCAGGATCTCTGGGGCTTTTCCTCCCCGCTAGATTCCTGAGCTGTGGAGTTGCTCAAAATGGCCTCTTCCACGAGGTTCTGCTGCAAGGATTTGTCCTCCCTGTTCTCTGTCCTCAGCTCCTTGTCTGGGGAAGGAAGGACAAGGAGAGGATGGGATTTGCTTCCGTCCCAGAAGGGAAGGGGAAGGAGATCCCTGCAATGCATCCCTGTCACCCTGAAAACTCAGCTTCTGAGCTTGCTAACATAGTTTTCTAAAGACTTTCCCAGAACAGCAACTGTAAACATAGAGATGTGTACATTCCTTCTGTTACACGTCTTGTGATGGACATCTCTCACAGCCAGTGCAGTTGGGAAAGTGTTATCCTGACCATCCAATCCCTAGCCATGTATCAGAAACCTATAAATCCTGGGAGAAGAAATAAACTCTCTCATCCTTTCACCACACCTCGAGCTGTGTCCATGTGACCTATTCATCTCCAGCAGCAATACATCCCCGGCAGGACAGTGTCGGCAGCAGGGTTGTCCTGCAGCCGGAGACCATGCTGGGCTGGGAGATGGAGCAGGAGAGAGGGGGAAAGGGGCAGTGGCTTCCTCCTCACCTGTCTCAGTGTCCTGGGCATCTTCCTCTTCCTCGTAGCCTCTTTCTCCATCTGGCTAAACTTTGGGAACTGGAATTCCTGTTTTGGGGGAAAAAAAAGGTGTGAGCACGTTGGCTTGGGTGTTCCTCCTGCCCAAGTCCACCTCTGGAAGTCAGCAGGTGTCTGGTGTCCATAAAAATCTCCAGACCAACAAGATTTAGCCACCCTCAAAAAAACCCAAACCACCTGTCACATATAGATAAAACCTTACAAAAGAAAGGCCTTGTAAAATCATGGTTCAGGCCTTCTTACTTCAGCTGAGTGTAGCTAGCAGCTAGCCTGGTAAGTTCCCTTGCAAAAACATCTTGAGAATGAAAAGTTGGTTAACATAACAAACTATTACTGGGGAGAGAAACAAGTGCACCTGTAACAACAAGGGATCTGTTCCATGAGAATCAGTAGAAAAAGTATGTAAACATTGTTAGAGAGAAAAGTTTTGATTGACATGTACACTCACCATTACCAACCAGTGCACTGAGCTCCTAACCAACTGGAACTGAACATGGTGTCTTCTGATAACCATATAAATATAAGATGTGTGCAATAAAGATTGGAAGAAGAAACAGGTGTCATTGTCTGTCTCTACTACAAGAACCAACAAGTTTCTGCAAAAACCATCCACCCAGTGAAACAAGGGGGTTTAGGAGTTAAAAGCAAACCTGGTTAAAAGTTGGCTGACAAGACAAGACATTAAGGAATGCTGAAAATTTTCTGTGTGTGCAGAGACAGGATGAGAGCACAGCTGTACTAAGACAGGAGCCAGGGCTTGAAAACAAGATGAGAGAACAAGGCTACTTGCATTAAGAGACCCCTGACCCAGCAAGGACTAATCTCGAGGTCTGGAATGTGACCAAGGGACTAAGGCGTATGCTCCGGAGACAAAGGTGAAAAGTTCAGATGCGAAGAGGAGTTTGAAAATCTTCATCAGGGACCACCGAAGACCCCCGAATTGAGGAGCGGCAGGCGTAGAGAAGCCTGGAGCTCATTAGCATACGAAGAGAGTCTAGGCGGGGCTAAGGAATGAATATGTGTTGGGCGCATTGTGTAATCCTGGACTGTACAGAATAAAAGAAAGCCGATCCTTACTCCCGGGCCATATGCCTTTGGAAATAATTACGCCTATGTCCACCGGCTAAAATACGTATCTACTCTCAAACTTAGACGAGCTGTGGAGTCTTTTCCGCTCTTTACCAGAAGATTCCCCCTCTCTGGCCTCTCCACTTTGGGGCTCAGGGGGTCCCCCCTATCTGGGCTTCTGCAGCTCCAGTGTGTATTGGTATCCCCTCTCTCTGGGCTGCTGGGGCTCCTGGGAATCCCAGAGGCTCCCCTTCTCTGGGCTCCCCAGCTGGGTGTCAGAGGGGCTCCAGGGGTACTGCCTGTCCGGGGTCCCCGTTTCAGGGCTACGGGGCACCCATGTCTCTCTCTTGTCCACGGTCCCAACATCTCCAGGCTGCTGGCGTTCCCCCTATCCGGGCTCCACGTTCCAGGGTGCCGGGGGTCCCCCTTATCGGGACGCCTGCCCCCCCCAGGCTGTAGAGGGTCCCCCAGCTCCGGTACCGCCCTTCTCCGCCCATCCAATCCCCACCCCGCCGGTACCGGGTGATTGCCACGTGGCTCTGTCCTGACAATGCAGCGCCTGAGTCGGGCAGCCCAACCCCCGCCGCGGGAGGGGCCCACGCATCCTCCGGCCCGGCGCTCCGGCTCTGCTGGCAGCCAGCACCGGAACTCCCCAAAATTCTGCCGTCTCGGAGCCTCCGGGCGGGATCTCGGCCTTTGGCCCCGAGCACAGAGCTCCACCCTGAGGCTCGTGAGGAGAGACGGCAACGCTCGGCAACCACGGGAATTGCCCCTCATTGGAACAAAATCCGGCTCCAAAGGAGCTATTTGGAACGCCCGCCTCCGGCTCCTCCCTGCCCCAAATATCCCGGCAGCTGCCCCGCTGTCACGCGCGGGATTTTGGAGCAGGGAGGCTCTGCGGGCCCCCTCAGGCAGTGTCACCCTCCCTCCGAGTCCGTGCCCGCCCCAATGCTGATGTTTAGCCCGGCTCTCTCGCTCTTCCCGGCTCCCACCCGGCGCCGCAGGGCCCCGAGCCCCTGCTCAGCAAAGGGTCAGCGTCCATTGCCAGTCCCTTGCCGGGGGCCCCGGCCATTACCCCACCCCTCATCTCATGGAGTACTTTCATATTAGGTAACTACTCTTATTTTTCATATCAGGGCACTACTCTTGTTTTTAGCTTGGGTTTTGGATTTACTTGTATTTTAAAAATTTATTTTCATAATTTTAGGGACTTTGAAAGTTTATTGAATTCCTGATACAGATCAGGTGGGGTAATGTTACCAGTTCATCCCTTTTACCAGATCCTGCTAGTGTCATTATCACATAGATGTATATGGTTACAATTACTGCTGTTAGTGGGGCTAGTTGTAGTAAAACTATGTGTATTTGTATGTGTACTTAAAAGATCATGGTCTAATTGGTTTCATATGTTAGTGTAATCTAGATTGCACTGTGCTGGAATGCAGCTCCCACCACTGCTCCCTCCAGCCAGCCACTGCGGGTTGTGCGACGAGGCAGAATATTAATTTCATTGAATCCTTGTTATCTCTGCTCAGATGTGCAAAACCAGCTGCTGCTGAGACAATCCCATCTCAGACTGAAGCGGTCCCACCCAAAATCCTACATTCAGTTCTGACACACCATTAAGAAATCTAAGAGCAAAGCAGAAAGCTGACTACAGAATCTTGCAAAATCAAATATTCACAAATATTAAGAGAGACTGAGAAAGTCAACAATGTTAGATGTTGGAGTCTGAGATACAGAGTGTGTGCCCTTGTTTCTAATACTTAGTTCTAGGATCCAGAAAAAACATTGAATTTCATATAATAGGAAATTCATGAGCATGTTTTCATGGTGATACATGAAAATGAATGTTAGATAGAAAAAGCTAAAAGTGTAAGTGTGTAGATTAGAAAGTTTTTTTAAATCACTGGGTGGAAAAGTTATTTTAGAGAACAGGAGACAAGATGGAGGATTTATATTGTTGTCTCTTGTTCTTCTTTCTTCTTCATGTTCTTCTCTTAGGGGTTTTTGGGTGGTAGTAAGTTATTGGATAAAAGATGTCAGAGTGCAGCACACAGGTGTTGGGTGATTGGGTCACTAAGAAAACTAATTTAGTTGGCATCTGTTAATTGGGTAAATGGACATATAAAAGACCTTGAAAAGAATCTTTGTTAGCCATTTTACCCCTTTCTATCATAGTGCACATAGCTCCTTGTACCTTGTAATGTTGATAAGAAAATAATAAACTACTGAGACCGAACAAGAGAAAATAGCCTCCCTCTCATCAATCTTCAGTTCATGGGGAAAAAGAACCTAACCCAAAAGTCCTTAACGAGACAACTAGAAAACAAGCTTCCAACACGGAGACTAGTAGAGCAAAGGCAGTGCATTTGATTGGAATAAGCCCTCTCTGTCTGACATGTAAGCAATGCCATCAAATTTCCCAAACCAGGGAAATATGGAGCCCTGGCAGCAGTGGCTTCACATACAGCAATGATACAGAACAGGGCAGGGCAAGAGGCTGATAAAATTAAAATTTCTACTTGCAATTAAGAACTTTTGAGTTCTACTATAGCCACTATAATATAGAGTAAAAAAGACTAAAACTACTAGTAATAACTGTAATATTAATAACAGAAATAGAAGTAATACCTATAATAATAACAATAATCAATAATTGTAATAAAAAACCTACCATACTTATTCTAGGTTTCCCTTGCCAGGTTTTGGTAAAGGGGGACTCTAGGATCACCTTCTGTGACAGGCTGCTTGAAGCAGCTGCTCCTCCATGTCCTGCAGAGTCAATGCCAGCCGGCTTCAAGACAGACCGGCCACTGGCCAAGGCTGGGCCAGTTAGAAGTGGTGGTAATGCCTTTGGGATAACAGATTTCAGCGTATCAGTTATTGTGGAGTTGTAACTATGATCAGGGAAGAGCAGGGTGAGAACATGTGAGAGGAATAATTCTGCACACACCCAGGGCAGGGCAGGAGGAGGGGCAGGAGCTGCTCCAGGTGCTGCAGCTGATTGCCCTGAGATTCCGTAGTGCAGTCTGTGGTGAGGCAGCTGGGCCCCTGCAGCCCATGAAGGGCACAGCGTGCAGAGATGCACCTGCAGCGCCTGGAGGATGTTGTGCCAAAGCACAGGGATGCCTGAGCTGAGGCTGTGACCCCATGAGAAACCTGTGCTGGAGCAGGAACCTGACAGGGACCTACAAACCTGTGGAGAGAGGAGCCCACCCTGGAGAAGGGTTCTGGTAGGACATGTGAGCCCATGGAGGAGTGACCCAGGTTGCAGCAGGTTGAGAAGAACTGCTGTCCATGAGATGAACTCACCTTGGAGAAGTTCATGGAGAACCCTCTCCAAGAGGGACCCCTGGTGTTAGCGTTCAGGAACACACATAACCACGAATGGTTATATGAAGGTGCTTTATTTAAAGAGCTCTGGGTGTCAGGGGTACACATACCCAAATCTGACACGACTTGGGTTTCGAGTTGAACATATTTTATACTCTATCATTATGCAACTTACATATTAATTATTAAACTTACATTGTTCTATTGTAAGCATTGTTTTTACCCAAGCATGAATTTCTCGTAATCCCCCCTTAGCCCCCTAACATGGTTCCCCATGTTCTCTAAACAATAATTATATCTAATCACATCTAACAATTGTATCATTTATCATATACTGACTACACAAGTGCAGCTTGACCTGGTCTTTAGCAAGCACAAGGCCTAACGTTTCCAGGGCCTGCTTTTCCCAGGGCTTTCCAAACCTAACTTTTTCTAAGTCCCTGAATTTTCTAAGATTTTAAGGCCTTTTACTATCATTTCCCCCCTTTGAAAGCATTTTCACTTCACTATAAGTGCAAATGTTTTCACTTGATACAGTCCTTTGTTTCTGAGTTTATACTTGGTGTTCTTCAAATCCTCGATTGATGTAAACGTTGTCCTGGATGCTGTCACGAAATGGAGAACTAGAGGATGGTGGGTGTAGCTCTCGCATCAGTGCCTTTATTATCTTCTGGTTCCAGGACGTTTTCTTCTGTATTTCTCTTTTTAAGATGCTGTAAACTAACCAAATTGCTAAAAATACAATTAGTAAAATTATCACATTCTCAATGATAGATTTAATCCATGAATTCACATTCCACCCTAACCCTTTGAAGATTTTACCTAACCAACTTGTAGTCAAATCCTTTTGCTCTTCCTGTGCTTCATGCTCTATTTGTTGCAACTGATTGATGTCATGTTCTACATCTGCAGTTACATTTGGGATGTGGATTGCAATCCCATTGCATTGGGATGCAATGATCAATCTGTCCCCCTTAAAAAAAGAACTTCACACCCTCCATGTTCTTTCAAAAGTAATAAGTTGTAATTGGACGTTTAATTCTTTAAATCTTTCCCAGGTGACTCTTGCTAGTCTATCTACCTGACCTGTTTCTCTGTTCTGACAGTTTGCTATTTGCTCTAGGGCCCACCCAAATTTCACTCTACTAGAGGGTTCTTGCTAAGTGTCATCTTGATTCTATTCCTATCCTAATCTTTCCTACCTATGCCTGTGTCTTGCCACTGAGTTGATTTTGCCATTGTTAGCATCCGTACCAAGATTAATTTTTGCTTTAGCAATTTTACCAATGCCTCTGCACCCCAATGATATTTGTTATGTTTAATTTGTAGAACTTCTCTCATTATCAAGGGGGTTAACACTATTTGTCTTTGTGCAGTTACATACCATTCTTCTGAATCCTTTTGTGCATTTAGCAAATGTCTCAATTTCTCATCTTCTATTGAATATTTTGGTTTTGGAGGCAAATTAAATTGAGAAACATTAGTCTTTAAAGGTATCAATGCCATTGTTGTTTGCACTTCTCGAGCAGTCTGTCGGGCTGTCCAGTCTGCTTTTCGATTTCTCTCTACTCAATTCTAATGTTCTGGTTAAGGCAACCAGTTCTGCCCTCTGGGCAGATGTACTTGGTAATAATGCTTTTGCCTCCACTATTGTACTGACTGTTGTTACCACATATCCAGAGTATCTGGTCCCATTCTCCACCAAGCTGCTTCCATCTGTGAATAGCTCCAATTCTGGTTGCTCTAGTGGGATGTCTTTTAGGTCTTCCCTTGCCGAATAGGTGTACTCTATTACTTCTACACAGTCATGCTCTAATGGGCCTTCTTCAGTTGTGGTACCCTCATGCTCTAATGGGCCTTCTTCAGTTGTGGTACCTAGGAAAAAAAAGCTGGATTCAAGAGGTTAATTGTCTTTAGTGTGAATTCATCCTGCTCAGTTAGGATTACCTGGAATTTCATCATCCTGCTTGGAGATAGCCAATGGCCCCCCTTTTGTTCTAAAACAGTGGTCACCATGTGTGGTACATAGACATCTATATGTCTACCCATCGTGAGTTTCCTGGCTTCTTGGATCAGCATCACAGTGGCTGCAACTGCCCACAGGCATGAAGGCCATCCGGCACTCACGTTGTCAAGTTGTTTGGAGAAGTAGCCTACTGGCCTTTTCCAGCTTCCCAGACGCTGGGTTAGTATTCCCAGAGCTAGGTGTGATCTTTCATGCACAAACAGCTGAAAGTCTTTGGATAAATCAGGCAATCCTAATGCTGGAGCAGTTGTCAATGCTTTCTTCAGCTTGAGGAAGGCCTCCTTCTGTGGTTTGCCCCAGGTAAACAGCTGTGCCTTCTGGGCTTCATACAGGGGTTTTGCAATTAGTCCATAGTCCATGATCCACAGGCGGCACCACCTTGTCATCCCGAGGAAAACTCGCAGCTCATGTAGGTTCTGGGGCTCTGGAATAGCACAAATAGCTTGAATACGATTAGTACCCAGCTTACATTGCCTT